TGGGGACCTAAGCTGTTACTATGTTGTATCCCTGCAGTAATGCTGAGGGACTGTTAACTGATACGGGTCTTCGTTCCTTTACTTGGATCAGATTCTGGCACAGTGCGTTTACTGTTTTTTTGTATGCATAACAAAACAAAAAAGTTGTTAACATTGTAGTTAATAAATATTTAATCTTTCTCTCTCTTTTAAAAAAAGGTACCATGTACGTGGCTATGAAAAGAGCTCAAAACTGTTAAAATAGTGTCTTTTGTAGGTGTCTCCCAAAGGATGCAAACAATACATGCCTGCATTAGATATATAAAAAGATGATTCCAGCCTGAACCTTTCCTGCCTGCCTCTCCCCCATCTTTTCTGGTTCGATGCTGGTGTGTTTTTGTGCAAAACCAAACATCTTTTCTGTTTAGGCAAAAGAGTAATAGAAGTGTCGGTGTTTGTTAACATATTTGACAAACTATGGCAGCAAAAGCTATCCTTTTTATATTTTGGCATGAACAATCGCCCTTTTATTGGGCCATTAATGCTATTTCAGAGCATCACACTATATCCACAGGCAATAATTTAGCAGCTGTTTATCAGGAGCTTTCATAAAGCTTTGAATAGTATTATAACATTCAGTAACCCTAACAACAGCATTTCAGAATCTGTGCCGGTTTAAATGGGATATCCGTGAATGTAGTTGTTCAGGGATGCGTGACCCACATAACCTATAAATTTGATTGGAAGTTACAGTGCTGGCATAGGCTGATGGATAGCAGATTAGAGCCCTGATTAACCATGTGATTCACAGGCTGGGAATATATTGTCCTAAGAAAGATTCATCAGATGCAATCAGAATTTCAAGTGGTCAGATGGAATTCAAATGTGCTGTGTGCTTCCTACCCACCCCCACCCCCCCTGCCTTGTGCTTTTCTTCTTAGGTTGCCCTCTGATATTTGTTTATTTATTTTATTTCCAGAGCTGAAAAATACTTTGATGAATCTGTTCCTCACCCTAAAGCTGTCTGTCTGTTATTCATCAGAAAGCAGGTCGCAGTTCAGTGAGCAGAAGAAAAGATTTTAATAGAAGCTGTGCCAAGGGCTGTAATGCATCATTTTAGGGCCCTAATTACATTACAATGACAAATATCAATGGTGACAACAGCAATAACCTACATCCTTTAATGGCTGTACTGGAAAAGGAGTTTGGGCACTGTGCCATCAGATTAGACTTGGTTTCAAAACATAGGCCATTAGAAGTGCGTGTGTCCACGGTATTATTGGCCGATAACTGAAGCCCAATGGAAAGGCCTCTAAATAAATGATACCTCTCTAAAGCCTGGTCCCATGGGACGAAAGGGGCAAAATTAGATGACCGCGGAAGGAGACGTGTTTCTGAGACAACTTTGGCTTTCCATGTGAGGAAATGGCTGTCTGATTTTATGAAATCATACTTTTTCTTTCTCCTGCCAGTTAGGTTGATCATGAAAAATGCGTTGGCCTGATGTCCAAGGGGGAAGAGAACGTCCTAAACTAGTTTTTAAACATAGGGTTTTAAAAATCCATGTGAGCGTAGAAATGTGGAATCGTGCTTTATTTTGTGCCTGACTTTATGCCTTATGCAAAGAACGGATTTCCAGACCCCCTCCAATGGCAGTAGGAATAGGTCTGCCGAGATGCTAACCTGCGTTGTCAGTATCGTCATACACCTTCAAGTTCTAGGGCAGCATCGCAAGAAACCCACTCTAGCTGGCTTCTGGCAGCTAACTCCTTCTCTTGTATGTTTTGTGGTAAACAATCAGGCTTATTGCTGTGGTATTATGCCCTACAGTTAATTGCAGAAACAGTTGCGGTGTCAAGGCAGAAGGTGCTTTGTGTATACTATGTGAAAATGTCTGGTTTAAGATTTTTTTGGTACAGAAGGTGTAACGTCCTTCCTGTCATCTCTGCATATACACAGTGTTTTCCTTCATGCCTTCATCCTGCCTTTGGTCTCCAAGGGTAGGCAGCCCATGTCTCGGGCATGCTGTTCCTCTGTGGTCCACTGCCGCTCAGTTGAGCTGTTTCCTTGCTGCCCAGGTGTTGAGGGTGTTAAAATGTAACTGTACAGACAACCATGCAACTGGGGACACTCACTGTTGGGGGAAGTGAAGGCTGTTTCAATAAGGGAATGGTGTAAACACCTGCTTCAGTGTAGCAAGGGCTTCTCAGCTTTGTTGTGACTGGCCTAGCAGGCCCCTTGCCTAGCTGAGAAACGCTGCTGGGGAGCATCTTGGCATCTCTTGAAGCTGTTAGCGAACTCTTTTTCTTCTCCGTAGGCTGAACTGGGTGCTGTCTCCATCAGCTCACCTTCTTGCGTACAGCATGAAAAGACTTGCTGTTCTGCGCTCTGGTGGGATTGATATAAAGAGGTTTAATACAGTTGTGTAACCGTTCATATTCAGTCACCTGTTTTCAGTTACTTACAACTCTTTGGAAGATGCTTTTTAGCTTAACGTTTCCCAGGCTCAGAATCTGCTGGAGGCGAATTTTTGTATAAATACTGAGCAAATATGTTTCAACCAGTCCTTGGCCAGAAGAGCAGTAGAAGAGAGACATAGTTCTGTTGGGGAGGCGGGGGAGAAGTGATCAAAAGAAAAACATCGTAGCTGAAATAGCTTGAAATAGCTGGGGTTGAGTACCTTAATTGAGAAGAAATGCCTCAAAGTGAGTTGAATAAAATAATTTTGGTTGACTAAGCTATATTCTAGCTGAACTAGAATTTACAGGTTTGATCGAGAAGTCGGTGAAGTTTCACAGGCTGTGTCACTCAGGTCAGATAAGATAATTTTAACAGTACCTTCTGGCCTTAAAATTTATGAATCTACAAGCCTTTTAAAATTGCATGCTGAGCTCCTGCATGGCACTTTGAGCCAGTTTTATTCTCAGTTCCCAAGCAGTGCAGTAGGAGCATCCAGCTGATGTAGCTGTGGTGGAAGAGTGATCTGCTGCTGAGCACAGCCGAGGCAAAGGCTGTCCCCGGGAGCTGTGCAGGAGGTGGGTAGGGTTGCGATGGGCATTTTAAAGATGGGTGGGAGGAATAATTTTGCAGCAGAGGAAAGCATCATGTGCCTTTTTTTACTAAGGCATGTATGTATGTTAAATGGCAGGTCAGAGGACCTTCAGCTCAAGTCAGGACGATGGCAGTTTGGAGTTTTGTCTTCATACGGAAAAGCCTCAAGGAGCAAGACGTGTAGTTTTCTCTTTGGTTTTAAGGCACTCAGGAGATTCCTTTTAAATAAAAATAGCAATATGACTGGGACCCAAAATTTGGAAATGACTAAATTAATGGTGCTTGAGCCACTACAGCACAGGTACTTTGCAGCTGTGCATTATATTACAGTCTACAGTTCCTTAACCAAATATTGTTTCTCAAGTAATGCCGTATTGGATCATGCAGCCTCTCTGGCTGAAGCTTAGATGCACACATCTTGTTGATCCCTGTAGTGCTCTGTGTAACAAGCAGTTCGTAAATCTCTGTTGTCAACTAGTGTAGTGAACACTGTCTATTTAAAGGGATATTTAGGTTTTACATTGTGGGATGTCTGGTATTATAGGCACATACAGACCTTTGAAATTAGCAGATAATTTAGCTTTGCGGTTACCAGAACATGTTCTCAAGTGTCCTTTAAGGTACCTATGCTGCTGAATAAATGGAAAAGGTATAGTGGATAAATGCAGAAAAATGTATTAAAATGCATAACTTTAATGAGATGAGAACTTGCATAAACAGTGAAGACCAGTGAGAAGACACTGGGACAGGGTGACATAGACATTGCTGTATAAATAACCTACAGAAGTTTAGATGGATTTCAGAGAAATGAAGACGTTGCATTGCGAAGCGGTGTGCATTGACTTGAGCGTATCACAGCACGCTCGAGGGAGCAGAGTTAGTTTCACATGTACCTTTACCTCCAGAGTACCTTCTCTTCTGGATATGTAGCTGTCTGACTGTAATATTGCTTGAACCCAGATCTATTTTGTATGTGGTTCTGACTTTTTTCCTGCTAGTGCTGAGCCTTTCTGTCCTGTAGGTTCTTTTCTAAGTGTTCGCAGTTTAAAAGGCAGCATAGCAGAAAGGCTGGAAGGGTTGCTGTTCAAAGAACGAAGCCTAAGTTGCACAAGTTTGTATGTCTTTGTCATACGGTTAGTGACTTCACAAGAGGAAGAGCATTCTGTCCTACTGTATAATGAGGAACTGATTCTAGTTACAATTTATTATAAGAAAGTTATGATGTATTGTGAGAAAGTCTATGTGGCTTTAAATATTCTGTTTCTGGAGCTATAATTCTTGTCCCCCAAATCTCCTCTGTCTGTGTTGAGATTTGCAGATTCAATACACAGAATAAGAACTGATCTTTAGTATGGAAATAAAGCATTGTGTATTATTCATTTCTGATCACAATTGCAACATGGAAATAACTACTGTTAACCTCGGGTTTGATAACATCATAAATATGATACAAGACTGCAGTATCCCTTTCTGAAATACGTGGTAGAATGATTATCAGTGAAGTTGTATATTGTGTTGATAATGTTCTCGTGATATGCCATGTTAGTATGGTAGTAACTCGTTTATTTGTTCGCTTCGTTTACAGTGGCATTACTGTAGTTTGAAATGATCCTTCTTTTTGCCTCTTTAGAATTTAGAATTTAGTTAGATACACAGTATTTTATTTATCTTTTTTGTTACTTCTCCTGCAGATTTTTCATTTAAATGCCTTTGATGGCATAATCAGAGTTAACTTTTCTTTGTGTCAGTTGTAAACTGTATTTTTTAAGGAAAACTTTTAGCCAGAAATAATTAGCTTCCTAGGTATTGTTGAATTACTGTCTAAATACTTTTGTTATTTTGATAGTCTGTCCTGGCCAGAGGATGACTAGAGATGAAAAAAACCGAACAAATGTATCTTCTGTGTTTGTGGGTGACAACTGCATATAAGAATTTATATAATTGAGCTTCTTTCTTCTTGTCACTTGCAGGCAGAAATTGTCAAGAGGCTGAATGCTATATGTGCACAAGTCATTCCCTTCCTGTCCCAAGAGGTAGGTAGTTGTTTATACCGGTGCTGATCTAAATGATTGCCTTACCATGTCTATCATGAAAGTGGGACTTTGTGTTGAGACTGTTTCCTTATGAATCTCTTGGTGCTTATAGATGACTTTCCACTCTGCTGTTACCACTGTAATTTCATTATCTTCTCCAAGTCCATTGTAATGACATTTAAATATCTTTATGAAATGGAATGTGTTGTAATGTGCTAAGCAGAATTTTAGTTGTTTAAATATTTTGCTCTCGTGTACAATGCAGTTTTTCTCACAATTACAACTTTGGTAATATACTTGGTCTGAAATCAGAGGACAGCTTGCAAAAATGCTAGAAAAGCATGATTTGTGCTACATTCTTGGCAGCGGGCATTAAAGTTCAGCAGAAACTTCTATTCTGGTATACCAAGTAGTGATGTTCAACACAGTAGGCACACAAATGCAGCTTTTTTCCTGCCTTTTTTTCTCTCTGCATCCCAGATTACTTATTACCGTAAATCCTTTTATGTTTTCTGTGTATTTGGGGAATATAGACAGAAATTGAAACTTGCTGTGAGCTAATTTCTCTAAGCACTAATATTCTCCAAATTATGATTTTCTGGTATTATCTTGAGTGCACTGTAGATACTTTGAGGGGCACTGGGATTTGGGGGAGTTGGTGGGAGCTAGCGAGGGAGTTGTGGAGCCACAGGCATGTGTGAAGTAAAATGAAAGTGTGGTGCGTGAAAGGAGACCTCGGGTGCATAATGGCTTCTCCTGCCCACCCCACTGGAGGAAAGGGGCTGTACATGGGGGTCTGTTGGCGCAGGCTGGCATGCATCTATTTAATGCATGGTTTCATTTCAGTAGAATTGATAGCAGAGAAGTCAATGCTAGAAGGTGTATTTCTGTGCATTGCATCTGTAAAACATGATGCATCTTCCTCCCACCTTTTCAGTTGTTCGGTAAAATGCCATTACTTGTCAGGAGAGCTATTCAGCCTGCTGAAACGAGAGGCTGTGCGCTCCGTATCAGCATTCAGCTAATGTGCTGCGTGTGTGCACGCGCGTGTGCATCTGTGTGTGTTTGAAATGAGAATAGCGCTATCAAAACTAGAACCTGACAATGTTCATGAGTGCCGCTGTACTCTCTGCTTATAAAGAAGGATTTGTGGAAACTAAATGATGTGTAATGATCTAGTTACATTGCTGGAGGACCAGAAGTCAAGTCCTTCATGGATCTAAAACAAGTAGCTCTTGATTTTGTACTTTGACTGCTACAGAATCACTATACATCTAGTTACAGAGTTTTATTTGCTGTACAGGAATAGCACAGCATATAAAAAATGGGGTGTAAAGCTGATTCATACTCATGCTAAAGTGAGCACTAAAATAACATGATTTTGAAACAAAGGCAGGGGTGAGTACTTGGCAGGCAAAGCTGTGATCTTGGCAAAGACATGTGATCATCATTTCCATGACAGAGACATCTTCTCTAGAGTATGTGATACTGTGTTTAGAAACTTTGTGCCACTATACTACTGCTGGTACTGGTACTGCTATTTTCAGCAGAAATGCTAAACATATCTCTCTTACTGTACACAAGTAAGTCACACTGCTCTGTTTCCTCTGCTTCGACAAATATAGCCCTTGCGCTTCCTTGGAGTAGGTGTTTCTTGCCAATTAGACAAGCAAAGCGATGACATGGGCTTAGAATACAGTTGAAGAAAGATGTGTTTGATTCACACTGACTGATAGATTTTGGCCTTTGATTTTGGAAATCCTAGCCTCCACCCCCTCTACATGCTCATGTGGAATTGAGGGGAAAAAAAAAAAAAGAATAGAAAAGGCTGTAGGTTTTTGAGCTTTGATGTTAGTGGCATCCCACTCAGGTGAGCATGGGCGCTCTCCTTTTTCTGTTCTCCCTATGTATCTGCTCCCCTGTCCCTGGAGCTAAATTGCCCTGGAGCTGTTCTCCTGAGAGCTGGTATTTGTACATTTTAAGTCCCTGCCTTAGAGGGAGAAGACAGTCTGAAGGCTGCACATTATACTTCCTTCTTTTCTTCCGTTGAGGAATCATAGAATCATATAATTATTATGGTTGGAAGAGACCTCAAAGAACATCAAGTCCAACCGCATACCCAATGCTACCATGCCCTCTAAACCATGTCTTGAAGCGCCACATCTAGATGTTTTTTGAGGAGAATCTCTCATGTGATGCTCACATGCAGTAACTTAAGAACTATGAGCCAAGAACCCTGATCACTGTTTTAACAACCTCCTGACCATCAAGCTAGGCATAGAGAGCAATTTTAAAATAGTTCCAGACTTATCCATTTCAGTAGCTTCTTATTAATACACTAGTTTTAAGAACTATGTAAGTAGGCAACTGAGAAGATCCAGATTGTAAATTTAGAAAATGGTGGTGTCCTGCTTCTGTCATGGGCACAGTACCACGCAGTAAGGGCTTAGGAACACCAGTGTCAGTGTGCTTAATGACTGCTGTTTACTTTGTTAGACTTTAGATCAGAGCTTTGAGTTAAGCAGGTTTAGATCTGAAAACAGACTCTCATGCAGCTTCTGTGCTAGTAAACCTCTACTTTTCAAATTTATGGCCCATAAAGTTTCCTTCACCTGTTTGCACATCTTGTTTACCAAGTCTTACAGCTCCTCCTCTGTGCATGTTGCATGGTGTCAAAGCTCTTTGGGCTACAGAGGAGATGAAGAGGTCAAAAAATTCACAAATTCAGTGTTTTTACATGCATTGACAAAGACAAGAGGGAGCACTTCCAAAAAGGTGGTGTACGCATTCATCTTGCGTGGAGGCGAGTGTGCTTTTTAGTTCAGCTAGCAGGAGGGGAGGGGGACTAGACAGCAGACAGGAATTGAAAGGGGAAGCACAAAAAAACTTTTCACGTGTCTTGACAGTGCCACTGGTCATGATAGTTTTCATATTGGGGTTAGAAAAATCTTGGTAATTGTTTGACCTCTGTTAGTAGAAACACTTCTTTAAATCAGTTTATATTGGCATATGCTGATGAGCCAAAAAAGAACTGATCTCCAGATCTGAGTATTCTGCTAGTCTTGGTTTCTGTCTAATTTGTGTCTTTAAAAAGTGAGAGTCTTAATGGAAGTCTCTTTATCATCTAGATTAATAGAGAATTGAAGTGCAGTGTGCTTTTGCTGTTCATGCGTTTTGCATACAGTCTAATTGTGGAATAGTGGCTGAAAAATGTGATCAGGCTCCTTGGAATTGTGCCTGAGGGAAAAATGAACAAAATACAGTGGTTACATGCACTGGTGGCAACATTATTGCCTCATAGTAGCACCAGGTTAACTTGTCTTATTGCTTGTTAACTTTGTAAGGAATCAATGGCTTGTGATAACTCACTTAGAAGTAAGAAATTGTGGCCAAAATCGCTGGAGATCTTGTGAAAAGGATGCAGTTATAATACATCACCCTACTGTGTGTTAGTGTCTGCTTTGTTTCAGGGGCAATCCAGTAAACTATTCAGGAAATTCTCCAGGATTTAGTCAGTTTTACTGTACTGTGCGTCATCTAAGCATATATTGAAAATAAAGTTCCTAACCTGCCTAAATATCCAGTCAAGTGGTACCTTGTTTTTATGTTGACTCCGACTTAGGCAGACTGTAAACAACAGCACCATGAAGTATGAACTTCCCTTTTTGATAGGAAAAGAGTGACTTTGTGGTCAAGGCATGAGATGGACCTCAGGGGCAATGTGTGTTCAATTTCTGCTGCGGTTGCAGGCTTCCTGTGTTGCAACAGTCGTTTTCCACCTCCCTGTGATGTTGTTGAGATACCAGTGTGCTCAAAGTAGTTCCTATTGCATAAGGTGAAAGGAGTGCCTGCAACGTTGTAGGTTAATACTTGGAGGTTGTTAGCACTCAGTTAACTTAGTTTTGATCTGCAGCAGCTGATATAGATAATTCAATATTTACATCGTTGAATGATCTAGCCATTAAGATGCAATTCATTTTGGGTCTGAAGCCATAGATCATGCCCCTGCTAATTTATGCTTCTTCTCAACCGAATTAACCAGCTGCAGCACAGTGTGACACTTGCTCAACCCTGCAGCTTTCATGTTGGGGCTGGTTCCTGTCTGGTCAAGGTGGTGTGCGTGTGGCTGGCTGCAACCTGTGGGTATCATTGTGGGACCCTTGGGCTGTTGAGTGCTGAACGACCTCATGTGCTGGATAGTGGTATTTGCTCAGTGTGGCCGGAGATACTCATATATCATGGTTACCTTCTTTTGAGTAAATATTGACTGTGTTTATATTCATGAGACACATGCAAGCTGGCTGATTTACTGCTAATGATGTAGTTGTGGCAACCTGCACCTCAGTACAACCTGCGGAAGCTGCTCGAGAAGCCAGACAATTGTTTAAGATAGTGACCCCTGTCAACTTCCATGCTACACTGCAAGCATTAGATAGGCTAGAGGAGGCTGTAGTAAACTTTTTTGGAAGGTGCACTTTCTCTTCCAACTGCTAGTGAACTAGCTAATAACAAGCTGGAAGGATTGCTCTTTAATAGGGATCTTCAGTTCCCCATGCACGATAAGGTGGTCAAATATAAGTACAATAAAATGCCGAGCGCTGGCATGCATAAGTGCAAACAAACATACGGAAAGGAAATACCGCATGCAGTCTTTTCCTTTCAAACACTTTAATATTAGTTGATGATTTTCCTTTTACGAGATAGACGTAGGCCATAATGTGCTTGCTCTTCTCTGTACTAACATTCCCTAGAGGTACTTCTAAAGTTCAGCAAATTTGAATGTAGAGTGTGAGATCCATTGTACAGAAGCAAAGCAGGAATCCTTACATGCTGTTCAAAAGGAAGTAGTTGTTGATCTGAGATGTGAGAGGCTGAGAACACAAAATTATTTTCCTTCATCTTAGACTTGCCCCAAACTCGAGCTGAAACAGTAAGTACAAGGAAGCTGTCAGATATCTGTAATCCTTCTACCAAGGAAGACATCTTATGAGCAATTTCTGCATATATTACTAATAATGTTCTTACATTTTTACGAAGTGGTTATTATATCTTGTCTGAGTTACGGTGCCTGGATGCAGTGACCCTGCTGGCCCTTTTAGTTTATGTGCTATGCTCCACGGTAGATATGTTTGCTCTCCGATTCTTACTGGTATTTTCAGCGCAGCCGTGTCTCATTGTGCTGTCTCTAGGTCAGGCTTTTCAGAATGGCACTGCTGCAGTTCTTAAGCAAGACTTGGTCTATACTCCCTCTATACAGATAATACAATGACAAAATATATGAATAAAACATAGCAGAACCCGCTTACTTCTGCAAAGTGAATTGTTCAGTGAGTTTTGCTTTGGATGTTGTTGATGGTGCTGAAGACGGGCTGGAATTAACACCAGCGTCTGTGCATGCGTGCCAGGGTGAATTTTGGCCACTCGGTTGCTGTCAGCACGGCTCCCCTGTCGTTGGGAGCTGCAGGGAGCTCTGACGTGGTATAAAAATTGCAGGTATTTTCCACCATGCTGCAATGCTTGTGCAGGAGCCAGGGCTAGGTGGCAAGACAGTGTGGTGAGACAATGTGATGGTGAAAAAGCCTACATCCTTCTTGTGGTCTCTGTTGTTGCTACACACTGTGAGACTGAAAGGAGGTGATTTTCCAACACAAGGCAAGTGCATACACACCACTCATTACAGAAGGCGAAAAGGGGTGAAGAGAAGAGACAGGGAAGAAGTTAAAAAGGAGAAATGATACTCGTCTGCGTGACAGGCGGGGCAGGGTATTGAGTTCATTGCTCTGGCCTGTTAAATGTGATACAAAATGCTGTTTTCCCATACCTGAAGAAAATGGGTCTGTCGCTTGTGTGCGCAGAGGAAGACTAGCGTTAAATGTATGTGAAAGCTGCAACCCTGTGTCTATATTTGGTTGGGAAAAAAGTAACCCTTTTTTTGTTGTTGCTGTTTTTATTTGGCTGTAAATCACTATGTGATCACTTGATGGGCGGGCTAATGCATACTGCTTGGTTTTAACATAGTCTTGCTTGTTACCGGTGGGCTGGCTGGGGAAGGCGTTCAAGCAGGTGGTACGCACTGGGCTCGTCTGTCCTTGGGTACCCGTGTGGGCTGGGCCAGCTAGCTGCCATCCTGCTCAGCAGGCCCCTGGGCTCCCTGCCCCTTGCCTTGATTTTGGGTTGCAGTGGGTCCCCGAAGCCTGGTTGAGCTGCTTCTCTGCGTGTCGAGATCTCCACCCGCTACTGGAGCCACTGTCAGTAACATCCCCCGCCCGCCCCAGGCTCAGAAACACCAGGGGTAGCCCGTGGGCTCTTCAAACCCTGCGCATCGCTCGGCCACGCCACAGTGTGACTCTGCTTTCCTGTGTGTTTGTCCACTGGAGTCTGTGGTTTACGCCTGTGACTTGAAGTAGCCCTGGAGTCACTTGGGGCAAGCCCCCTGTGAGGTTCCGGGAAGCTAAGCGGGAGTCCGCTCGGTTGCTGCAACGAGGTGGAAGTGATGGAGAGGCTAATTGCAGTTTGAGTCTTTTGCATACCATGCCACTGAAGATTAAATCGATGTTAAAGCAGCTAACAATAGGAGATTTTAATTGTCTCTACCGTACCTAATTTAGGTCCAGTGCTACAAGGCCCGTGGATCTTCTGTCTATGAAGGCTTAATCCCATACCTGTTACAATCAATGAAAGATGCCTTGTGTGGCTGTTTAGGGAATTTCTGTCTTACAGTGCTTTCCAGCAGAAATCTTAAAGTGAGATTTTGATGCTTTACCCCTCTACCTTCTCTTCCCCTCACCAGGGAGTGAAATAATGTTTTTCCCAAATACTCCTGAGAGCCATTCTTTGTATGTATGTTTGCTGTAAAGGAAAGGAAAACATTCAAACACTTGCGGAGTTGACTTATTTTTCCAAAACCTGGATGAAAATTGGAGTAATTGCTACAATAACTTTGATATTTTCAAGCCGGCTTTCTGTAGGTTCCTCTGAAGATTTTTCTTCTCTTGCCTGTGGCCTTAGAAACAGGATTTAAGTAAATGGGTATTGGAATTGAATGCTCACATACACAAATCAAGGGCTAGGTCCCTTTCTCTACCTCAGTGCAAAAAGCATTGCCTAGGACATGGTAGGAAAGCAAAGATGACTGTAAACTTCTCAGTAAATGATAGTATTTTTAAAGAAAAAAAAATTTTAAGGATTTTTAAAATTTATTTTGGGGGGCGGGGTTCTGGATGCCTTGTTCAGAAATGCTGTGACTCATTTTTGGTGTGGCTGACCTCCACCAGAAAATGGTGGTGTCATTTTTATGATCATTCCATTGCCATATAGAACTGTGTGTCACGGGGCTTTGAGCTACATAATTGATGAAAGCTGTACCTGTCCTTAACATGTGATGACCTGGAGATGATAACACATCTTCAGGAACTTGAGGCTTGAGTGTTGTAATTTCCTTTTTTTCTGGTTATCTGTGATGGTCATACAGTACTTCATTTTTTCATTTTTTTTTCTGAATGCCAAGAACACACTTCCTCATGTTTGGCCTGCCTTTTGTTCTTTACATTGTCCACTTATAAGTGACAGATTTGGTTTACATTAGCACTGCAGCTCTACAAAACTCTAAATGGGACTGCTGTGATTCTGTTTGCAGGAATATGTTATTTGCTCTCCTGGCATTTCCTTCATGTAATTCTTCTTTGCTTAAAAACAAACAAACCTTAAAACCATTTTCTTCCTTCCAGGAGTGTTTCTAAATTACCTCCTTCATTATTTGCATTTATCCATTTTTCGTAGTTGAGGTCAGCATTTCTTATGGGCGGATTTTTGGGCTTGCTTTTCCTCGCCCTGAGGGCTTTTGTGGGAGAGAGTCTGTAAGTGAAAATGCCATTTTTGTGCATTGCACCGAGAACCGCCAAATCTGAGACTGCCAAGCCCCTGAGGTAGCAGAGCCCTTCCTTACAGCCCCCTCTCCCAGCGGAGCTCAGGGTGCTGCCTGGAGGGTCTTTCTGATGCTCTTCACCTACTCTAATTTTGGAGCAGATCTTGGGGATTTGGGTCCCCACCTTAATTTATGCAACTTTCTGTCCCTGGTAAGGATGCACGGGAGGTGTTGCTTCATGGTCTGTACCTTGGCTCCACTCTGCCTGTATACATAGCTGTGGGGGGCAAACTGAAGGCTTTAAAGAGACCCGCTCAGCCCTTTCCTTAAACTTTGCGCCAAAGAACATCTAGATGTTGGTTTCGATACAGAGCTGATGTTTCATCATTACGGTTTCTGCACCTCTTGAGATAGGCAAGAGCTCATGCCTCTCCGTGTTCAACCTGTGACTATAAATCAAAGAGGACTTACTCATAGTGCAGATCACACAACCTACTTGCAGTTCTCCCTGACCCTCCTTGCACCAATGTGTCGCATGTAATCCTGATCCTGTGAGGCTGCCTGTGCAGAATAGTTTGCCACCGGTGGAGCTCCAAACAGGCATGGATCTGGTTTCAAGATGAGGACCTTATTTTATTTGTAGTTGATGTTTTCAAATAAATATCAATCAGTTTTCAGTATATAGCAATTTTGAATTTACTGCAGGAGTACAGTATCACTCAAACTGAGGTAATATAACCACCGAAGCTTGTAAACTGTGTTGTTAATTAGACCATGTGTTTTTGATGGACTTTTTGAAGCTATTAAAATTTACATGTTGGGGATTGAAATAATCGGTTCTCTTTCACGTGTTTGACAGAATTGTGAATGACATTTTAAATTTCTTTCCTATGGTTCAGCTGCTTTGAAATGTACCTAGATAGGGAATCTGTATATCCTTCAGTGATGTGGGTGCCATGTGCTTGTTGAAAATACGTACCTTTCTTTTTCAGTATGCCTTTTTTTTTTTTTTTTAAATGCCGAAAAGTTTCTTTGGCTGTAAGGAAAGTGGCTTGCATTTTAAGTTGGTGTGTAAATTCAAGAGCACGCTATAATGATGAACAAAAGGAAGACAGTTCCCTGTGTAGCCAGGTTGTAAAATAGCTCTTTGGGGAGCAAAGGTGTAATTCCTGGCAAGTAATGGCATTAAAAAAATGCTCCCCTTAGCTGATACTCTTGCAAATCAACACAGAATGTGACTGTCTGTTAGAGAACAGTTATTTCAAGCCCTGCATGTGTTTGAAAAGCAAAGAAAAAAGATAAAAGGAAGAATCTGTGCTTAATAATTTAGAAAACAAATAATTTTATTCTGTTTCTGATCTTCATTTATAGCACCAGCAACAAGTGGTGCAGGCTGTGGAGCGTGCCAAGCAAGTGACCATGGCAGAACTGAACGCAATCATTGGGGTATGTGGTCTTTCCATTTTAGTGTTTTTAAATAGCTTTTTTTTTCCCCTTTCTCTCTTGCATGAGCTTGTTTCCATCAGGTGGGCAAAAATTGTGGGGAGTGGTGAAGTTCAGTAGCTTGATCTTCATAAAAGCTGGTTTCTACTTGAAAGTGTTGCTTGCACTGTGCGCGAAGACTAACGGGGTAATTAATGTGTGTGTTGTATCCATTCCCTGAAGCTGTGTCAGTATCTGTTTTTTTTGTCATCTTTTTTAAGTAACATTGCTTCCTTTGCATACCACTTACCAGTCTCCTCCTGCAGCCACAGTAACAGGTAGCCTTGATATGGGGGTATTTTCCCATCTCTGCTGCCCACATCTTTTTCTGGGTGGTGGCTCAAGACTGAATATTCAGCACGCTTTTTATTTTCAGATTAAAAAATAGCTGTTACTTTTTTAAAAAAATCCAAACCAAACAGTCCAAATCAATGGTAAAACGACTCCTCACCAGTGTGCTTGTAGGCACCCTGCTCCTAGTCACGTAAAAATATGGATGTGTGGAGCCCCTCTTGTAAAAGCTTTGCTGCCAGCCATATTAGCTCGGTATAGCAGTCCTGAGAGATTTTATGGGTGTGGGCAGCCACAATGTTTACATTTTACAACTGGAGAGGAAGGGCATAACAATGAAAGCCATGGCTCTTCATACTACATAAAATAAAGGTGAGAAGTCATAGCTTAATAGCATATTATTCACATGTATAATTATGCAGCTGGTGCAAGCAGTTGTTTAAGTTATTCTAATGAAGACACTACAACTGTACTTCCCATCTTCTTTGCCCTCCCAAATGCTTTTTCTTTTGTGTATAGATTATACATAAAAGTCTTTTCCTTTTTTTTTATTCAGTGTATCAAACACACTTTGAAATGCTAATTATTCCATTTACTTTCATTAAAATTCAAATTGCTGAGTGAAGATGTGGATAAGGGTCGCCAAATAATCAATCTGAAGTGAAGATATTGCTTCAATTATGCCTCTGTCTTTTAACAAGAAAATCAGGACTCTCTGATCATTGCTGACAGTAGTGTAGAGCAGCGGTCTGATTGTAGCTTGTTTTTAATAGGCTGTTTCTAACTCTATTTTGTATCCCTCTGACCACAAGAAAACACTGCTAGTCAATTAGAAGAAATAAATGGAAAAGAGTAACCTTTATTTCCTCTGAAGTGCCCGTTAGAAAGAAGGGAGTGAATCGGAGCGAGTCATGTAGAATCATGAATAACATTTGTTGTACGTCTTTTACGCTCCAGTGGGGAGAGTGGGAGATGAATAATTTCCCAATTAGTTTTCATTACCTAACCAAAAATATTGCCTTCTATTAACATTCTTTGCATAAAGTAAGTAGCTAAAGGTTGGCTTCTTTGTTAAAGTTGTTTTTATATATGTGTGCTGCATGTGCATACGTAGAGTGTGTGTATATGTGCATGTACCATTTTGTCTGTGTGTACATGCACACGCATGTGTATGAATACTTCACAGTCTACTTGTGTACATTTTTGCCATTCGCCTTTGTGTATATTAGCAAGACTGCAAAAAGCAATTTGCTTTCTAGTAAAAAATAAGTTGGTTGATGTAAAACATGTGATGTTATAGATACTGGCTATTGCACTTATTATTTAAGTTTATCCTGCTTTCATGAACCACTAAACCACACAGAAGAGATATAAACAGACTAGACAGTTGTCAGGGGAGCCTGGCAGTAACTTCTGTTGGTCTTCCTCCACCAGTCAGAAGTAAATTTTCTGTTTTGTTTGCTGCTGTCTGAATTTATCTCTTCAAGACAATTGAAATTCTATTGCCTCAAATTTTCGTAATATCTGAATTTTGCTTTTGTGCATTAAAATTGGACAGCTCTCGCCTCCCTCACAAGACTGATTTTTACCTTGCTCTAGTGCCTTTTTTCACTCTCCTGTTTTATGTTGACTTAGGAAATGCTGTGTGTGGCCCTCTCTTTAGTTTTAGACACAGGACTGAAAATTTTGTGTTCATTAGGTTTAAAGAGAAGTAATCTAATCCAATCTTTAAGAGGTTTGTTTAAAAAGATGGAATAAATAGGATAACAAGATGTCAAAAAGGCTTAAGTTCTAGTTGCATGAATACCCTCAAAAATACTACGTCTGCACTTAAATTTAAAGTCTAAAAATGTAGTATGGGACTAAAAAAGGCTTGTCATACTTTGTGAAGTGAATACCAATAAAAATAAAACTAAGAATGTAATTAGAAATTGTGGCTTTTCTCTATCTATAATTATGTTGTCTTATATTATTTTGCTATATGATAAGTCTGACAGAGTTTGTGTTCTTTTAACCCTGTGATATTTGAAAAGCTTCTGAAGTTCATTTCCTCTTTACAGTTTTTAAAAATACATCTTTTAGTTACCCATTGAGCTGTGTATCAGATGAAGACAGAAGCAGTATTTGAGAGTACAACTGTATACACATTGAAATACAACTGTAGCTTAAGTTTCTCTGTGCTTTGGGGGGCCCTGTGCAGTTCACCTCACTCGTGCTAAACCCCTTTGGTTCAAACAGAGGAACCCTGGGTTTGAGTTTAAAATGGATTTTACCGTAATGGAGGATGACACAAGGAAAGAATAGAATGCGCACAAATCATGTCTCTCTTTGTGTTTCACATGTATATATTTTTGTATGAATGTGCTCTGATTTAATGGAATCTGATGAAGCACCTTTTAACTTTGCAGTATTATTCTATCTTCATTGGTAAATGAACCAAACCACTGATCCGTGCAGTTAGAATGCAAAATACGGAAGTGAGCCTGGGACCCAGAGAGACAGCTTGTTCTCCTGACAATAAACTAGTTGTGTTTAATGGAATGAAACACAGTTATAATGACTTCTTTCACAGGTCATGTTCAGTTTAAAACTGTTGATGGGCTGAAACAAGTTAAATATCATCTACTTCTGGAGAGATGCAGGGAGAAAAACTAAACCAAATCTAGGTATCATAAGCATGCTGCAGGAGTACGGTAAATCTGCATCTGGTGTTTGCCATGGACAGTATGGTACAGCGTTCTTGCTCAGAGCAAATTGTAGTGCACATCCAGAGCTCCTTTCCAGGTTGGGTGTATTGGGATGAGTAGTGTGATGTATCCAGTTGATCTGTGTGACAGCTACCATGTTTTTAAATTAGAATCTGCAAGATCACACTGTTGGAACAACACACAAATTGTAGCCTTAAATCAGTAATATGATCTAATTAGGAATGATGTTTTCACTTCCTGTATTACTAAACTAAGTCATCTAACTCTCCTAAAATGTGGGGGTTTTTTTTGTTTGCTTGGTTGTTTCTTTGTTGTTTTTTTTTGTTTTGTTTTGTTTGTTTGTTTGTTTTAATCCATTATGCTATTTAATCAGAACATGCTGTGTGAATGTGGTTATATTTTAATAACGGAACCAGGGAAATAACATGTATCTTCGTAAGAATTTTATCAGAGTATTTTTTTTTTCCTTTGTTTAAAATAATCAGTTTTCAACTGCAGTTGAGTAGTAAGGCAGAAATGGAGGCTACTACTTGTGTGCCTGTTTATCACACGGGGAGAGATAAATGTACCAAAAACTTAAGAACAGGTATGTGATGGTGTTCAAAGAAAATGCAGTTTAGCACAAGAAATGCTGAACCTCAATTTTTAGCAGTGACATTTTAATGATAGGAAGTCTGCAAAATTATTTGCCATCAATTGTGAAGGCAATAACAAGCCTTGGTGGTTTTTCACACCCTCTGTGTTAAGTGCTTTCAGAATGACAGCGTAAACTGTGTTGGAGAACTCCAAGGAAGTAAAACTGATTAAAATGTTCATGCTTGAATGGTGCTGATGGAATAGTTCATTTGGACTTTCTCTACCTCCTGCAGCTCAAGCTGAAATATTAAAATTCAGTGGATTTAAATCTCTCTCCCCTCAGCTCAGGAAAAAAACATTACATTTTAATAGGTTTTAAACTCATAATTCATTGGTTTGGAGCAGCACTATTAAATCTATTTAAATATTACTTGTATTACTAAGGAAATGATTTAAAAGATTTTTCCATTACCATTCTGTACATCTGAGTAAAAAAAAAAAGCCTTTGGTTTAATTTTTAAGCATTTTGTTTTATTATGTCACTTTTATTATCTTCTTTAAAAGTAAGCAAATGGCAGTTACTGGAAGAAAGGACTCCTTCTGTATTGTCACATATAATCATCAAGCTATAACGTTCCTTCTTTAACACACTACTTGTCACAATTTCTACCTTGTGTTTGAGTCTGAGGCGCTTGTTTGGCCCATCTCAAAAAGGTGTGTAATTTTTGGTTGCTTTCAAGCGAGTAGTCCATTTTACAGCTGTGGAGAACAACGCCTGTTTGAAAAATAACAGTATGCCGTCGCAGGCATGGAAACCTTTGAAAGCGGTGTGGTGCAGATAAGTGCACACAAGTTGTAATAAAAACTTGGCATCAGTGCATGCTGTTGTTGCCACGGTGCCAGTGGTCCAGGGCTCCCACCACCAAATGCCCAGGCGCTTTTTCGCGTTGGTGCTTAATGTACAGAGGCATCTCCCAGTCCTCCCAGCGGAGGGTGGTTTGTTTCTGCCTCTCACGTGTACTTGCACTGTGAGGAAGAGCAAGGGGCTTTTGGTTGAACCAGTGCAGCTGAGGGGAAATGTTCTGGTTGCAGTATGTATGGCAAAGTCATTCCTGCCAAGCGCATGCGTTCAGAAAAGGGAGTTTGGGGGAGGATGAGGAAGGGCAGTAGAATAGGCAAGCGTGTTGTAGCACGGGGGGCAACAGTCACTTGTCTCTTCAGCTTTTCTGGATTGCTTGTTTAAAGGTGTATTAAGCAGTGGTTGAAGCTTAAATGCTGTAGAACAAGTTGGCCACGTGCTGTCTGTGGTACACAGGTTGTTACACTGGGAAGGTGGCAGAGGAGATTGACGTAGTGGGTATGTGCTTTGAGTTGTGTTTGTTTGTGTGC